CTAATATTTCTATATATTTTATTTATTAATAATTAAAATAAAATACTACTAAAATCTAAATTTAAATTATAGTCGATTAGTATTATAAATTATAAAGTTGTTGATATGAAAGTAGAGAACACATTTGAAATATGGGATACTAACGAAAATAACCCTCTAGAATAGGTTATTTACAATTTTAACCTTAAAAATAAATTTTCTAACGAAATAGCCATATGTTACCTTGTTAGCACGGTTAGATGCGTACAGGAAGTAAAATGCAATTTTTAAAAGTTTCGATTTTTTATAAAAAGGTGCGTAAGGGTGGGACCCACCGCCGGTTTTTAATTTTTTTTAATAAAAAATTGTATTTTAGTCCCAGTACGCACCTAATGGTGCTAACAGGGTAATATGTATGGTAGCATGGTACTCCATCGGTATTTGAAAAGTTGATGTGACGTTATTTGAAAGATGATTGGTATTATATAGGTAGAGTTAGTTATTTTTATTATATCAAAGGATCTACCAGATTTCTTAATTGTATAAAACAAATCATAGATACCATAATTGTAAAATAAATGAAAAATAATTGTAAATTACGATAGATACAAGTTTGACTCTAAAAGTCAAATTATAAAGAGCAAATAGTTCAATTTCATAAATATGAATGTTGTGTATAGATTTTTCATGTAGATCATATGATGTTTAAATATCTATCAAATATAATTTATAAAGATTTTTTTTAAATAATATAATATTATTTTCATTTTTTTAAATTATTTTTAAAATTCTTGAATTCATGGCATTTCCAGGTCCTCTCTTCCCTTTTGTTCGACTTCTTTTAGTTGAGTATCCATAACTCCAACTTTGCTTCTTGTCTCCATGCGTTTTCCCCATAAAACAACATAAAGTCCTCCAACAATGAGCATAGACCCTAAAACACTGAAATTAAATCAGAGTTATTACCTTATTACCAAATGATTCAGCAAGTCGATCTAAAATAATTTAATCACTTAAACTGGTTTTATTCACAGTTTTTTATAAGCTTACATAGATCATGATTCGGTGGTGGGCCTGGCCCACTAAAACCTTAACGTAGTTGATTGGATTGCAAAGATAGACTCTATGTATTCCAAATGGTGAAGTTTATTTGCAATGTCTTAAAGTGTTTAAATGTGTTATTTATGTATGGATATTGCTTACCTTCCAAGGTAAAGTTTCTCTTGTAAAAGACCCCAACTTAGTGTTGCCACGATAATCAACAACAAGGGATTGAACACCGAGACAAAAAGAGGACCTTTTCTTTCGATACACCATGATATCATGAAAAGTGCTATGGCCGAACATACGATTCCCTGAAAATTAATAGAAACGTCAGATTAATTTGCAATGTTATGACTTCTTTTTTGCATTTTGTAGAAATTGTGGGTAGTATACCGCGTAAATGCTTGAAAATGCCCTGATTGAAGGATACAATGACCATCCATGTAAAGAAGGCTCCATGACTAAACCGATTAGGCAACTTTGGATTGTGGCCATCGATAACATCAAGGCTGAACTCGAATATGGAGCTGGATACTTGTCGAACATTTTTGCCTGAAATTGTCCAATAAGTCAAATGACAAAAAAGGTAGTCGGTATAAAGATTAAATACGAAGTTCAGGTTGTTAGTTACACAATTTTGTTTCAAAAATTGCCCTTTGTAACTTGAGGATATGGTGGTAGTGGTATAGCTTACCTGGTGGACAAACCAAACGGCCCAAGTAAAAGCACTAAATATAATAAGACACGACCCTATAAGATTTCCTTGGCTACTATCATCCGAGTTTTTCATTTTGGTTGCAATGCTCAAGTGAATGCCTGATTCACCGATAGGTACGATAGGTCCATGGTATAACGACAATAGCATGGCACCACCAACACTCACAAATGTTCCTATCACCTTCGCTTGTCCAACCATTGTCTTCAATCTTGCACTTTCTTGCCTAACAAACAAAAGAAACTATTTTACTTAGCGAGTAATGTTCTAATACTAACAGAATCTCGGTTTCACCACAAAAATGTGTCATTGTGAAGAATTTAGATGAACCAGTTTGATGTGCATTACTTGAAAAGGACGGCGAGGATGAATGTCAATGCTGGAAGAAGATTGGAGAGTGCACACGCAATGGTAGGGGTGGAGTTCTTCAAACCAACAAAGTATGTGATTTGATTCACTGTCATTCTAGAAATCCAAAAACACGACAACAATTAGAAGACTTTTGATTCGAAAGACGGCATTTTTGGGCTCGTGGCCTTCATGATGTAAATACTTGGCATATAAACCAAATACCACCAAGATAAATTTTCATTTGTATAAGAAATTTAGTGTTAGCAAATATCGAGTGACTTATGAAATTGTTTTAATAATGACCTAAAACTACCCTTAAGATATGCTTTTTGGATATAAAAGCCATTTTAAAAGTATTTAAAATTTTAGATATCGGTTAACTATATATAGACGTACATCATTTTCTTTTAAAGAAACGTTCAACTTACCCGACAATGGAGGAAAAGAAGATTTGAATGAAAATGGGTCGTGTCATCGGAAGTCTTTTCCCTCTGCAAATATCGACAAAAATTATATATATATATATATATATCACGTCAACAAAAATTTAATATGCTTAATAAATCTAAATATTAATTAATGATCAAATTATTTAAAAAATAACACATGTAAAACACTAGTCTGTTCAAATATAATGCTTAAAAGATCAGAGATATGGTAATTTGCTCACAAAACCAATTTTTAAGGTCATGAGAATCACTTAATAATAATATCAAAGTTTGTATTCTAATTTTGGTATTTTTTATTTTGGGAGTTTTTTATCATGCACTGAATATATCTCTTTACTTGTATTTCTCGAAAAAGTGATAACTATTTGTAAGTGTAAATTTGTATTCCGCAATTATAACGATAAACTCACATACCCTCCTAACCTTTGATGAAGTTTGAATATCTGACTTCTTGAAAAAATAAAGGTGTTTGTACTGCTTTAAGGACCATTTGGTTTAATATTGGGAAAAGTTTAAAAAAATCCAATGAACTTTAGTGTTTGGAATGATTAAGTCTTTGGACAATTTTTCGGAATAAATAAGTCTTTGGACATTTCAAAACCTGTTAAACAAGTCCTTGAACTTTCTAAAACCTGTTATATACATCCTTATGACCTATAAAACTAAGGAAAAAGTCTAAAAAAAACCAATGGACTTTAGTGTTTGGAATGATTAAGTTCTTGGACAATCTTTTGGAACAAATAAGTCATTGGACATTCCAAAACCTGTTAAACAACTTTTTGGACTTTCTAAAACTTGTTATATACATTTTTATGACATATAAAACAAATTAACGTAGTAAAATAATGGAAAAAACATGAAAAAAAAAACCAATGAACATTCATATTTTAAGCTATAAAGTCCCTAAACATTTTTTAACCAATAAAGTACTTACATTATATAAAATAAAACAAATATACCAAAAAATACTTACATTTTTAAAAAAGATTATTGATAAAATTTATTTTAATTAAAAATAAAAGATATTATGTCAGTGATTTTTCAAATTAAAAAAATAAAAAGAGATTTAAAAAGGATTACTGGTTATATTCATTTTTAATTAAAAATAAAATATATTTCATATATGATTTTTTAAAATAAAAAAAGTTTAAAATGATTACTAATGAAATTTATTTTAATTATAAATAAAAATATATTTTATTTTTGATTAAAATAAATTTTATCAGTAATTTTTTTAAATCTTTTTTTTAATTTGAAAAATCACAAGCGTGATATATTTTATTTTTAATTAAAATAATTTAATCAGTAATTTTTTTTAATTTTTTTTAAATTTTATCAAAAATAAATAAAATAAATGTAATTATTTTCTTGTAAATGTAAGTACTTTTTTGTTATATCTGTTTGATTTTATAGATCTAAATATTTTTTGGTTCAAAATGTTTAGGACTTAATCTTTCAAAATATGAATATTCATTTTGTTTTTTTCAGACTTTTTTCATTATTTTACCACATTAATCAGTTGTATAGGTCATAAGAATGTATCTAACAGGTTTTAGAAAGTCCAAGAAGTTATTTAACATGTTTTGGAATGTCCAATGATTTATTTGTTCCAAAAAATTGTCCAAAGACTTAATCATTCCAAACACTAAAGTCTATTGGTTTTTTTAAAACTTTTCCCTTTAATATTCTAATCATACAATTTGAGTCATAGAAGAAATAAAACAAAATGAAAATTAAACTTGAACGTTTTATTTGATTTTGGGTACCTCTCAGCGAAGTAAGCAAAAGGAAGAGCGACCACAGACGCGAACATTTGACGGTAGGCAACATGCACAAACGGATTCATCCCCGAATCGATGGCAAGCTTCGACAATATGTTCATACCTGCAAATTCCAATTGTACAATTACCATTATCAATGATGCTAATGCATCTGTTCCCATTTTCTATCTCTCCTCTTCTTCTCTCTATCAATTTCTTAGAGAGTGAAATCGGTATAAACACTCATACATGCATACATATATACATATACATACATATATATGTGTATATATATATATATATATATATATATATATATACTCATTATATATCGTTTGGAAGAGATTGCTTGTAACAAAGAGGGTGCCAAAAACCATGCAAGAGATGGGGCTTGGAAAAAGGCGACCACTTTCAGTTTCAAAGTGATGACTTCAGCCCCTCAACTTGTCTTCTATTTTTACCCCTTTTTTATAGTATTTTAAGAGATTGGTCGGGTCGGGTATAAAACGGGTTTAAATCAAAACAGGTATTTCCTTTATTTTAAAGGAAGTGTTAAAAGTATCAGAAGGTCTCAAGTTCAAATCCAATGAGAAATAAAAATCCCCTTGTAGCCACGGAGGTTCAAATGCGGTGACTCCGGATTATCTGCTTTGCAGGTGGTCGCCCTAGGATTAGTCGGCTTGCATAACGGGTTGGATATCCATGTTAATAAAAAAAAAAGGGAAGTGTTAACAACAAATAAAAAATTAATGCAACTATATATTGAAATTGAAATAATTTTTAAATAAAAATATTTTCATTTCGAAATTCCCTTGCTTCTTCATACGGAACCCCAGATTGAAGAGTTACTCGAAATACTATCAAGATATCAGTATCTTTGGTTTCATAGTCAGGACTATAATAAGTCAATTTATAATCTTTAACACCAACTTTGAATCCATCACTTGCTTTTTTTGAAAAATCCAAAATTTATAGAGAGGCAATAATTTATCCCAATAAAAACATATATTTAGAAAAATATAAATTAAACATAACTTGTTAATTTGAAAGTTCAATTGAAAATCTAAAAAAGATATTAAGATAAATATCGAATTAAACATTATATAATTCTTAATTTTTAATATATTTTTCAACTTAGTTGATTATTAGTTAACTTTATAAAATCCAAATATTAATCATTAAAACGTTATATATACAATAAATAAATTAATATTTATTATATAACAGTCTAAATTTTGTTACCTATTAATTTTGATATATTTATTTACATGACATTTTGATGTTTTATCGACTTGTACTCTTGCTTAAAGTAGTTGTATTTTGGACTAATAATGTAAGTTCAAGTTTTATGTAAAGGGCAATTATGTAAAAAATAAATTGGTCTTAGAACTAGAAATGTTAAGAAAAATCCATGTAGGGGACAATATTGAATTAGACAATTGATGAGGAGTAATATTTGATAAGTGAGAATTCTTTTACTAACTATTTAAACTCCTAATCTTAGGCAAAAAGCCCTCATTTGCATCTTACATTTCTCTCTCTAGACCTAAAATTCTCTCTTCATATAAACCTTAAATTTGTTTCCAACCTTCATGCATCTAATAAATTGGTGATATTTTGAAGAATTGGAGCTAAGCAATTGAATATAATGTAAAGATTCAAGATATGAATCTATAAATTTCAAGGTTTGTTGTCTGATTTATGTTAAAGTTGGGAAGTTTCATGTTATGGTTCATAAGGTTTTAATGAGTAAGCTAAACCTTTATTAAATGATGTTATTTCTATGTTATTGTTGGTTAAAGAAGTTTAAAATTTAAGTTTTAATTATTTATTTGCGATTTGGTAAAGTTAGATAGTTAATTCTTGATGGTTTAGTGTCAAATTTATATAAAAGGGACTGTTTTGAGCTGTGCATAGGAATTATAGTATTGATGGTTGGAAAGATATTTGTGTCTGCTACAACTTTGCAGTTTATTTCTAGACCTGATTTTAGATCAATGATGCTAAAAACAGTGAGTTTCTATATCTGGTCATGTATAAAAACGGGATTTGCTCATTGTTTTTAGAAAATGCATATAAATAGGTTCTTGATCTAACTGGAATGAATCAAAATCTATTGGAACCCTGAGTAATAGGCCTACAACTTTTATTTAGACATTAACACCTTAATGCATCTCTAAGTATGATAAAAATGATCAAAATCAAGTTGATTCAAAGTTGTCAGGTGCAGGGAATATGGTAGCATTATTTTTGCTTGTACCTTGTGCTTTAAGGATTGTAACATCCGTAGATCTTGTACCTATCAGTCACAATCATGTGTAAACTTATTCAAGATCAATCTTAGAATAAGAAAGAAGCATTAACAAGGGGATAGGAGCTACGTGCTTAGTACATCAATTATCATTTAAGGTATGGATATCCAATCCTTGTAACTCTAACTACTAATCTAGTATCGAGGTAATATCTTATTCTCTATCAAACATCTATCACATATTCTCTTATTTCCAATACTTGAATTCATATTCGGACAGTTGAGTTTGATAGTCCTTTAATTATTGGTGTCCGATATGTCAACGATCATAAATCTTATACAGAGCTACTATTAGAGTTTTGTCTTTGATAATGACTATTATTGGCTACTTGTGTTGAACCACTTTTAAATTTGATTTTTTTTGGTAACCATTGTCGGATTTGAACCTTTGTCAGATTTGAACCGTTTCCAGAATTCTATTTTGACATGTAGTAGTTAATAGTTTCATATTTTGTGAGATTACCCTTTTCACATTGAATTGACATGTTTTTGGTGATTTGAGCATTTTGTGCTTTAATGCACGACATAGAGGGCAACGATGCCGTGACGCTTCCATGACGGCTATAGATTATCATGGCGTCCTTGCTATTGTACCACAATGTCAATAAGTGGGTCTGGCCTGGTACCTGCCAATTTGAGGACGAATAGATCGATCCCAGGAAAGGTATCAGGAGCCGATTATCGGAAAGGGAATTGAGTGTATTGCCCTACACTCATTTTCCATTGTTCGAGTGGTCCGTACAACCCTCGAACCCAATTGATTTTCTTATTTATTCTCAATTCTTGACTTGATAGTATTATTTTAATTCATTCAATATGGACATTTAAAGTCAATTATTAATTGATCACTCCATGTTCTGATTTACGGATTTCTTTTAATTATTATCTTTTATTAAATTGATTATATACTTGCGATCTTTGTTATTTTAATAATTCGCTCACTGAGCATTGGCTCACCGATGTTTGTTTTCTCCTCGCCAGGTACATGATCGTAGGTGAGATTATCACGGAACTGAGAATGATGGAATATGATTATTTTGAAGACGACCTTGGATAGTATAGTAGTTTTTGATTTTGTATATATTGTAATTGTATCCTTGTCGTCTTAACTTTTAGTCTATCACACCTTTATTTTGATGGATATTCATAATAGCTCTGGTTTTTCCGTGTATGCTAGCTTTTATGTTGTTATGTTTTCCTTCGTAACACACCATACTCGGGGCATGCGGGACAGGGGTGTTACAAATAAATTTTAAATATATATTTATCAAATTTAAATTTCAAAGTATAATAAAGATTGATGGTACAAATTGTTTGAAAATGTTGTAAAACATTAAAATTATTTTCAAGATAGTTTGATTCTTAAATAAATATAAATATATGATATAATTGAAACTTAATTTTTTGCGACCTAATATATTGTGAGATCCGTAAGATCCAGTGAAAACCATCAGTTTTAATTAAATTATTTTATGACTTAATTGATAATAATCTCTCTCTCTCTCTCTCTCTCTCTCTCTCTCTCCTCATTTGAATCCCTACTAGTTGTATACCAAGATCAAACTCGTATTCCACATTCTTCTCCAAATCCCTTGATTTTGTCATCATTGTTCACTACCGCCTCATGCAACCGCCATGCTGCCCACCCGACACAGTGATCCAGCAACTCCCCCGCTATTGCAGTTCCTGTCACAACAGAACCATATTACCGAAGTAATTTTCAGGTATCGGCTTGGAATTTCTACTCTAGTTCACAATGAATCTGCAGCCAGTTTCTTGATCAGTCCGGAACACGCTATGACCGCTACAGAAGGGCGGAGATCCACTACAACATGAAAATCTTGCTTGTGTCGCAATATGAATTCACTTTCGCTTTGAGTTTAGAGAGAAAATCCACACACCATTCGAACAAGATCTCGTGAACGGGTAAGGAAAGGTGAGTATCTAGAACTAAAGTGGGAGTACTCGTCGAAAAACCATCAGATTTGGAATAGAGCCAAGAGGATTTGCCTGAAAGCTAAGAACAAGTTGGTGTAGAATTAAATATGGTCTCATGAATGTGACTTCTTTGAGTCTTTTATGTCTATATTTTTTTGTGATCGAATGGGTTTACAGTGATCACAAGTGTGTTATCCCATGTCTTGAAACCCATTTGGATGAGTTTGAAATTTTATAAATGTTTGTGATTCATTTTGATTATGATTTTTTATAGTTTTTATTTTAAATGTTCATTGTGTTGTGTATGAATCTGATAAGATCAACCGACCATGTCATAATGTGCTCACATTGGTTCACAAGATGTTTCATAACCTGGTGTGTATTGGAACAAGTGTTCACAGTGTGTAAGCATATAATCTTCACAATGTATTTTAAAACAAGTGTTCACATATGTTTTGGAAACTCAAGTACATCATGTGTTTTAGAACAAGTGTTCTCGTTTAACCATATGGTGTTCATAATATGCAATCACATGGTGTTTACAATATGCAATCATACGGTGTCCCATCTAGTAATTTGAAATTTTCATTTATGGTGCACTTTAAGCGTCCAAGTGTTCCCCACCTTAGATTTCACAATGTGGTCACAATGTATTACTAGACACTCAAAATGTGTAAAATGGTAGGCTTAGTTTTACGAATTAATTACTTATTGTTCACAATGTAATCCCAATTTGTTCACAAAGGTTCAGGTTGTGATGTTGTTGGTCTACGAAGGAGAGAGGAAAGAGGAGAGATGAAACTTATAGATACCTATAATGTCTTTTACTAATTTTGTAATTCAAAATTACTAATTTTCTAATTTAATATAATTTAGTAGCTTAAAATAGACCTCAAAATTCTCATAAATTATCAAATTTTTAAAAGGCCTCCC